GCATTTTTTTCAGATTAAAAAAACTCTCTTTCTTCTAGATAAAGAAAGCAAAATTCAGCTTAGGGTGCTCCCGTCAGCCAATGGGATGGGAGCCGTCGAATGCATCGCCTCTTTTTCTGGAGGCATGCTGGACTCAGCCAATGGGCTGCGTCCAGTACTTCGTACACACCACTTCGTTTTTCTCTTCTCAAGACGTGAAGTACTGTAGCAGGGATGCGTTTTCGCCCCCCCCCCCTCAGAAAGCTGTGAAAACGCATCGCTGCTACAGTGATTTTGAATTTAAAGAAAAAGAAGAAATCATGAAAGTGCGTAGGGTACACAGGCAAAACTTTTCCCCTTTTTCCGAATCTCTGCAAAATTTGGAACTCCGCATGATTTCCCCTCCATCGATGGCCTGTAGCCATCTAAATCTGTCACACGTGATAGAAAACCAAACGGACACGGTTTACAACGGCGCTAGTCGGCCCTGGCCCCAGGGTTCAGAATAGGCAACCTCTGTTTTTTTTTTTTCTTCTTTTTTTTTCTTTTTTTCTTTCTTTCTTTTTTTTCTTAATAAGAAATAGGCAACTTTAGCCATTACCGAGGTAAGATATGAGTTAAGATATCACTTCGGTGCAGACAAGCTGCAGCGGCGCAGTCCATTCATCAGAGTGAGCAGTGAGCACTCTCACACAAACGAATGAGCACTCGATTTAGTCAAATTTTCACACTCAAAACGAAACTTGCTTTGAAATAGAAAAGAACAAGCCACATCATGGAAGCATCGTGCAGAGACCCTCACGGCTCCACACTGTGGCGGTCCCCGCCGCCGCGTTTAGACCGAGGCCAGACTCGGTCATCCTCAGGGGGGGGGATGTTTCGAAATGAGAAAGAGTAGGAGTGTGAATTTCGAAATGCCTATTTCAAAGTAGTAGGTGGGAAAAAAAAAAAAAAAAAAAAAAACACTAGTTGGTGGGAGTCACAAAAACGAGTCTTAATTGCAGTATATGGGGCAAGATACAGTTTCGAATTGCAGTTCGGGCAATGTATACAACCCAGCTTTCTGGCCAGGTGTAGGGTGCCCGAACTGCAATTATTGCAAACTGTATCTTGACCCATGTACTGCAATTATTATTATTATTATTTTTTTTTGGGGAAGAATAACTCCTTTTTGTGACTCTACTGAAGTTATCCCTTTTTCTCTTTTTTGGGGTAACCAAAGTTGGCCCAAAATTCTCCAGAGGCCTTGGTGAGGATCCACCTCAGTGGCTGATTGCAGGCACAACACACATCATGCACCTGGGTGTACAGTAGTCTCGGTGCGTTCATAAGGAGGCATTGGGGCGCCTTAGGGGCATACTAGGCAGAACTCTCACAAAATAACACTCGTATATATTGAGCTCGTAATTCACAGGCGTACCTCCAGCCCTTTGCATTTCAACTTTTCAAGGCTCAGGGAGAGAGAAAGGGCAGATGGAGGAGGATGGCAGAGAGGGGAGGAGGGGGAGGCAGGGGAGAGAAGGGCGAGGAAGACAGACGGAAGCAGCAGAGTGGGGCCAAATTTTAGTGCACTGTATACGTACCATTCAACCTTTGAGATGTCTGGCGATTTTAAAAATAAGTACATTCCACTCTGGAATCGGAAAGTGTCCTGTCTGGGCATCTGCAACGCCATTGTCTTGTCTGGATAGACTGTTGCCTGCACAAACGCATTACCCACACGTGTGTGCGTGTGTGTGTGTGTGTGTCACAGTGTGTGTGTGTGTGTGTTTGTGTCACAGAGTGTGTGTGTGTGTGTGTGTGTGTGTGTGTGTGTGTGTGTGTGTGTGTGTGTGTGTGTGTGTGTGTGTGTGTGTGTGTGTGTGAGAGAGAGAGAGAGAGAGAGAGAGAGAGAGAGAGGTGGGGGGGAGAGGGAGTTAGAAAATGAAATATCATCAGATGATATGACAAAAGAAATGGAATCAAATAAATATGAACATCAATTGGCAATACGCAAAGCAGTCAACAGCAGACAGTCAAAAACAGCACAATACGCCCAAAAGACTTTTGCAGTAATCCAGGGAGATAAGTATTCACCGAGATAAGTTCAACGCAATTATGATAAGTTCAACGCAATTAATGGGGAAGTTCAACTGAGTGAGAATTGACGTAAAACCATAATCACTAGCTCAGTACGATGAGTACGTCGGTCTGTCTTCTCTAGTGACAAGCAGTAAAGTGGAATCAGTGGAATCAGTGGATAGGCAAGCAAAGCAGAGCATTGTTGTCTGTATCAAAGAGACGCTGGGGGCCTTGTCCCACCAGCGCCATTGAGCCAGCTCCTCGTTGGGGTTTTCACCACAATGGCACGGTTGATTTATGTGAAGTGTGTACGCCCAACTAAAAGGCCTTTTTTTTTTTTCATTTCAGCGAAACCGTGGAAAAATAGCTCCTCTCGAATACAACCCCCCCCCTCTCCCCTTGCCATTTCTCGTTGAGATAGCTGACTCGTTTTTGTGTCTCAGGACTCTCACCTATGTAGCTCAACGCTCCGAAGCTTGCGGCCGATGTGTGAATTTTTCTTATTTTTTTGGTGCTGTCATTATTGTCTGCGTGAGAGCGTTTTCGATATGAGGCAAATGGCTGTTCCTCCTCGTTATGAGGCAAATGGCTGTTCCTCCTCTTTCCACACGCTCAGCGAAAAGAGAATCTGGCACTTCTGAATGCAACCAAAAGGAGGCCCCGCAACGGTTCATTTTTTTGTTTGTGTGCAGCGCGTTCCAGCCCCGGAGATAGGTACGCGCCTTGGAAGTACCCCTAATCTTAAAGGGGTACGCAGTGACCCGGAAAGACAGCAGCACTACTGGATTCTCTCGTCGTTGATTACTGTTTAAACCACCAGTACTTGGCCCAGGTATCGGCCGCGGAAAAAAAAAATATAAAAGAGTAGAAATGTTTCTAGTCGGATGAATTTGGGCGCTCCTCAGCTGTAGTAGTCCGTGCGTTTCCTAAATCATGGCGAGTTAACGGGCTCAACTCTAGCAAGTACTGGTCGTTTAAACCGCCACTACTGTGTCCTTGGGGACATCCGTTAAAATTGGAACGATACGGAGAAGATTAGCATAGCCCCTGCGCAAGGATGACACACATAAATCGAGAAATAGTCCAAAAAAGAGAAAAAAAAAAAAAAAAAAAAACCCCGCCACTGCAGCCAGGACACGGTGTGCAGAATGTGGAATCAACAAGGGCCTGGCTGCACTACTCTCCCAATGTGCAAAATGGGAATGAATCTTCCGCTAGAACGTGGAATGAATCTTCCGCTAGAACGTGGAAAGATACACCGACACCGCCATATTTTTTGTCTTTTGTGCATAATATGGAGAGTAGTCCAGGGAGCGCCGAAGACTGTAGTGTCCAAACTAAGAAACAACACCACACTCAATTCCACACGGACACAGACATCTGCTTTTCTGTTTTTTTTAAAATTAATCTATATTCTTCTCTGAATGATCTTGTTTTGTAACTTTTTTTTTTTTTTTTTTTTTTTTTTGGGATTTTTTACATATTTTCCTCATCCTTGCTACTCTATGTGCATCCGACAAAGCGACGTAGTACTTTTTTTTTTTTTTTTTTAATCCGAAAGAGGAAGGTCAGAAAAATGATGTAGCATAACTGAAAGATGTCAAATTTATTTAATTTAATCAATTTTAATGAGAAAAAAAAACTTAAATATAATGAACGAACTTCAAAGAAGACTCCAATTTAATAGGGTAACTACACAGGAGTCACAAAAATGAGTTGTGATTGCAGTATGGGGCAAGATACAGTTTGCATTTGCGCTTCGGGCACCCTACACCTGGCCAGAAAGCTGGGTTGTATACATTGCCCGAACTGCAAATCAAAACTGTACCTTGGCCCATATACTGCAATCATAACTCATCTTTGTGACCCACTGTCCCTTTCGGAAAGCCAAGAACATCA